TAGCTTTATGTTTTCTTTTCTTTTCCTCTCTTTAGCTTAGTCTCTTAGTGATAGACTACCTAATCAACTATTGATTCAGCCGAGTCCCTTACAGATATAGTAGATAGAACTAAGTATAGGAAATAATTATTCTTATATATCTATTCTAAGTATGTCCCAGTATGTCTTCTCCTATACAGATATATATAACTCCTGTATGTTCAGTATATTATTAGGGCATATCAAATATACCTAGTATATATATTTCTCTTGGCAACATACCCGGCTCGGGTCATTGTTTCTCCACTAGTGTCACATAACCATCAGCCTTTCGTCGATTCATTGGCCAGCAGTCCTTGTTCTGTGACAGAGTATATCAGGAACTACCAATCAGAGGACTATCTATTCCATTATCTATCCCAAAAGTATACAGAGAAGTAGAAGAGTAAAGAATATATAAGAATACTTATTGATATATTTAGTTTAGTTCTTTATAATTAATCAGAATTGTTATTTAGAATATACCTTCAGTATTAAGTTAGTAATTAACTTATTTATACTTAACTACTGAGTATATATACTTAGTAGGCCTGGCCTTTTAGACTTAAGCTATTCAGGGAACAGTATTATAGACTGTCAGACCTTAGATTAAGGTTATCTCATTAGATCCTGAATAAGAATTATATTCAGAACTATTATTATTTACAAGCTGCGGAATTATATCAGATTTATTATTCAAGATTAGTCTCTATGCTATACAAGGCAGCTAACACTTATAGAGCTTTTAGCTAAATATCTAGATATAATATATTAATTACCAGTCTATATAAGTCAAGTCTTGTATAGACTTAAAATACTATAATATCTACTAACAAAGCAAACCCTAGAAGCCCAGTAACTAGTTAGATAGAATATATACTATCTATTAGGGAGTTAATAGATATAGTATTATAATTTTAGAAATAAATTAAATAATTAGAAAATTACTTAATAGCTAAGACTATTAAGATCAGATCTTCTGAATTCTTTAATAAAAAGAGATATAAACTCAGGATATTCTTAATATAACTTAATATCTATTTTAATATTAATTAAAGTAAGATATTATCCAGTACTAATAAGATTTTATTTATATTAACTTATTTTATTAAACTAGTATTTAATTAATTTAAAAACTATATTTAAGACTATTAAGTTAATACTCTAGAAAAATAAGATAAAGTAACTAAGAAAATCTTTATAGACTATAATAAATTTAAGAACTATATAGAATAGATCTTTAGAGATATTAATATAGTATAAAATATAGAATAATAACTTAGAAAACTAAAGTAAAGTAGATTAGTAAGTAAGCTAGTCTTAGAATTTATATAGATTATTATATATCTAGATTAGTGTTACAGACCCTTGTCTAGTGTGCCTTATCGGGGAAAGCGGAGGCGCAAGGCAGAAAGTGATAGGACTACAATGAAGAAAGAACAGATCATGGCTACCCGAAGATAAGATAAGAAGGATCTCCAGGTCACATGATACCTACTCCGTCACCTACCCCCAAGGGAGTATACAATGGAGTAGGCTGACCGTTGGGACAGGATAATCCCAGGGATTTCGGGATGGGATGGGATTTTGGGATTTTGGGATGGGAAATGGGAATCCTGTCCCATCCCAAAATCCCAAAATAATGCC